ATAGTACAGTACATTGTTTTATACTCGCCGGGATTCGTTTATTGTCTAGCAAGTCTAGCTCACGTTCCCGTAATGTATTTATATATGTAGCAGGTGTAATGTCAATGATTTTTAATTTTATTACTATTTACGTTTCTTATTACTCAATAAGGGATGTTTTTTCCGTTTTATACCTTGAGAACAAATAACTACAGGCTCGTTTATTTACACACAAGTAGGTTCTCGGATCACAAACTTTATATAATCCGATAAATTAGTAGAAACTATCTAAGTAGCATTTGGAATATAATAATAGTGGTTGCTTATTTTTAATAATGGAGACAAATCTTAAATGGAGTCTACAATGAGAAACGTACAATGGGTAATCATACACCATGAATTAGACCAGTTGAGGATCTCTGCCGAGCTTTTGACAACAAGGGGTAAAACGTAACGTGCAGTGGATAAATGTTTCCTTTTTTTTTTGGTTTGTAACCGAATACTTTTTGTGGTGGTGAACTATATGCATGATGTGGGCATGTGAAGCGAAGAGGCAGATCTTGAAAGGCCAGATAATTAATTCGCTCTTAATTTGAGCTCTCTGTTTAATAATAATAATAATAATCATAGCCATAAGTATTATTGTTAGTATAATAATTCCAATTCCTGCGAAAGCAGCGGCCTATATATTACGTACTTTCGCAGTAGCTACTAGAATCTGTTATCCTAGATAGCAAGCTCGTCACTTACATTGCCAGACAAGTATTCTTCCATGATAACTTAGTGGTGCTGTACAATTTAAATATTTGCGTATCATTGCTGACGATACTAATTCCCGCCCTTGACAACTTAGTGTGGCGATTTTCTCCAATCACTTATTTTATTTGTTTTTTTTCGTTTATATTTCAGAGGGACCACATGTTTAAGACAACTGAACGCAAACACTATTGCTATAATACGGAAAGTAAAAAGTTAACCTTTAAAACGGAACTTTAGATAGGTACATGTTACACTGACATAATATATAAGCTTTGTCCTGATATATGAGGTAAATGTGTGGCCCGTTTAATTGAAAACAGCTTAGTAATATTTCGCTTACGCAGGACAGTACTCTGATACAAATGTATCATCTTAATAGATAGCTAGCAATGTTAATCATTTTATCAAGGAGAGCGCACGTGCATTTATCAAGCTCTTAACTAAGAGTCATGCCATTATACGGTTACAAAATTTGCGCCCCGCTACACGGTTCAAGGAACATCGGGTTCGTGAAAAGAATTCTAGCTACTGCTTAGATTTTACCCTCTGAATCTTGTCATACAAAGAATAAACTTATTGTACTGCTGTGTAAACTAAGTGCAGTAATGGATTCAATACGCTAATGTTTTGCAATTTTCACTGTAGAAGCTACTTTTTAGTATGCTTTCTACGATTGACAGCCAAGACTGACAATGTGTCGCCAAAGGGATTTGTAATCTGTCATCGTGTACAGGTTTTGTCACAAGAGCACATTCTTGCTTTTGTTCTCCACCAAACATTTCTTTAGAAGAGTTAGTTTCGAGGCCGGACATGTGTTACTTCTAGATGAGCCACGAATCGAAATGATACATGATAATGTTACGCGAACTCCTGGCGTGTTTCCACTACATCGTTGTATTCAACAGAGCGTTGCTAATTTCCATCTTCAGCTTCTTCGCTTTTGACTCTTTCTTCGCCTCTTTGTGCGCCACTACTTGTTTTTGTAGTGAGCGGCATTTTTCCTGAAGTTCAATATGATAAAAACACACGACTGTGTCTATGTGGTCATCACAATTATTATACCTTTTGTTGAAGGGCTGCTTATGAAAGTGCGTGATAGTGGTCTATAGAAATATAATTTTGAATCTCGCGACGACGATAATTCAATACAAACCTGCATTTCGTTCATCTGTTCAGCATGTCGCTTAACGGTATCTTGAAACTTGCTTCTCGCATCACGATCTTGTTTGGCCATATCGGCTTTTAACTCGCAGATTTGCCTATCTTTAGCTATCAGTTGTTTGTCTTTCTCTGACAGCTGCCGCTGAAGACTGAGGACTTGGTCATTAAGTTTTGTGAGAGCCACTACATGATCAGAAGACGTGGGGTCAGGGAACAAGAGAGGTTTCGATGGCTTGATATCTTTTGTCTCTTTCTTTTCTTCCTCGACCGCCACCTAAAGATCCACATACGATTATAAAACAACAAGAAAAATATTAGAAATGACATTTTGTATATATCATGTGAAATATAGATAATCCATAAGCAATATTTGTTATCAATGAGACGACGACATATAGTTTACTGAATGACACCCACTTTGGGGTCACTATCCGAATGATGGCTTGCCTTTGTAACATCTGGCCGAAGCTTTCGGTCTCGATGAAAGTCGGGCGTTTTTTTTTCCTTTTTCTTGAGTCCGTTCTCTGGTAGTAGATTAGCAGTTGGAGGCGCAGTTGGACTCGTGCGACTTGAGCTCGCACGCATTCTGAAATAATATCAAAAGTGAAGAACGAAAAAGTAATGTTTTATAAGCAAGGCACCTTTCGGGATCACTTAGATTTGCTCAACGTGTGTCTACAAGGTGTTCGATGGATGCTTTTCTAGCTTGACTCCTTGTCATGCGATATGTCATTCGTATCTGTTACTAACGGCAAGTTAGCATAGACCTTATTCCATGTATGTATACATGTTAACAAGAAACCTTGATTTTTATAATAATAGCGTGGACCTTTATAGTACTTCGTGTCAACGTAATACAGTCGTACCTTCCAGAATCGGAGATTCTAGCTTTGGCGAGGGTCCTCTTCAGTGAAACCGTGCAGAGCCAGCAAAGCATCTTGCCTTCCCGTTTTTGCGTTTCGGAGTCCTTGCGATCGAATGCGCTCTTTTGTTTGCACTGCTCACATTGCACTGGCGCACCGTACTTCTTTTCGGAGTTCGTACACCTGATATTGGAATCAGATAATCAAATGCTGGTCAAAATTGAAGCGCGAGTTCAAAACAACGAACGTAATCAGAATTTAACGGGGATCTTCGTATGTATTTATTGAGACGATACTAGATTATCTCCAATTAGGATTTATTTCGATTATAATTAGCTCTGCCTTTAAAGTGCTATGCTTTAAGTATGTATATATAACCAGCACACCTTTGGCATTTGCTTCCGATGAAAGCTGCAACGAGATTGCAGTAATCACATGAGCGTGGTTTCCCGAATTGCCGCACGTTGTTTTCGCATTTAGCACAGATCGACCCCTTCCTGTATAGTACAGCAGTCATCCAATAATTATGTAGTTATAAAGGGTCCAGTTTACTTAGTTTAAGGATAAAAGTATCCACTTAAAACGTGGCCCAACGCAGCTGTTAAACAGGTTTTTGTCCTCGTTAATTTGAAAACACGAGCTTTAATCTAAGACAATAATATCTCTGATAGGCCCGCGTCCCAAGTTAGGAAAAAGCTTTTTCCACACAACATTCATTTGCTGAAAACGAGAAAAGCAGTGTCCTTACCCTTCAGGTTGGAAATCTGCTCGACAGTACGTACATTTCACGTTAGCCTGCCGGCATGTCTGAAAAATAGCCGGAGACCAATCGCCTGTTAGCTTCAATAGTCACTGCATAAAATGAAAATAGATAGCAGTTCTTTTCTTAGCTGTTTAGCATAGAACCCAACGCAGTGGTAATAACCCGTAAGTTACCACAGCGTATACGAAAAGATATGTCTATGTATTGTAGATAATTGTATACAGTGAGAATTTGCAACCACTTTCATCCCTAAAAAGCTAGGTTACTATCTAAGATATTACTGATTTCGTTTTAGATATTGGTGTTCATATTTAAAAGAACGACTGCGTACTTCAAAACCTGGCGTACAATATGTGCCCGAATGCAATATTTGTTTCTCTAATTAATGTAGATTAATGGCGTATGTGTACAAGCTGTCAGCATGTTTTTATCATGTGATATTGACTTAACGCTGGCAACTTGAAAGCTAAACAAGCGTGTTTATAGGCGTCGCATAACACAGTGTCAGAAAACCATGAACAGCATAAGAATATATAAAATTTACGTAAATACCTATTCGCATTTTTCAGTGATTTGGTCGAAGACCTTAAAACAAGTTCTAAGAGTAGACTTGGCAATGTTCGCATAGTCTCTAATAGAACATGCTGCTATATTGTCCCCAAGTTGCGTAATTAACCTACGTTACAAGTATAAAGTCAAAATTGGAGAATGATTGCGCCACATGTGTAATAGAAGAAATAAAAAAATTGTATTTAGGCATCAAAATGCTCCAGTGTTAATTAGGAAAATAATAATCGCTTACTGATGCATGTTTCGAACCATTTTCAAAATGAAAAACTCATCTGTTTTATCGAAGATATTTTTACTTGAAGCATTGCTATCGGTCAAAGAAGAAAGTTGTTCTTAATGTTAATGTTTGTTTTACGTCTAACCACAAGCGCCTAGTATCCTAAGAGAGGATACAATCGCTTTGTTGAATATATTTATAATCAGTTCTTCCAGCTGCTTCTGGCACTGATGTACAAACCAGATTTTAAAAATTCATACATCTGCATAATCTACACCGAGCGACTGGAAGCATAAACACAAAACGAAGGACTCAGAGCACAGTCTTTGAGATCAAAGCCGGCTGGCCTTAGACAACAACGTCACAGGCGCCCTGCTAGTAGCATGGTTCAGACTATGATAAACCCCTCATAATAATTTTAAACAAAGATATGCAGTGTGAAGATTGCTATTTACTGGACTTTATTTGAACGGGATCTATGTACTATCTGCCAATGGAATATAGTAAGATAAGGATTATTGAACTGACCAGTAATTTGGATATATTAAAAACCTACAAAGAGATACGCTCTTATGGCCAAGCGACCGTAACCGAAATGGGTGATACGCGATGTAAGTCATCATTGCACTTCATGGTAGTGGAACTGTAGTTGCGATATGATATGGTTCAAAAGCTCCGTGATACGAATTATCGGTAGTATGTTCCTTACATATTATGCACAACGACGGCGTCATATTCGCAATCTCCCAGTTTATGCCCTTTCAGAAGTGTGTCGCCATTGAATTGCATTAGGTTAATTAAAAACGCACTACACTTTCTAGTATTTTTCTGACTGCAATTGGATACTCTCTATTTATTAGGCAACAAAGCATTATTTCTTGATATCGATAATGCTTTGTTTGAAAGGCTTTCACACCCAAGTCTTTCAACATGTTTGGTTACTATTCAACAAAAAAGCCATTAAAGACAGACAATTGTCGGTAATTACCTTGTATCGATCCATACAGCGATCTCATCGATGAGGTTTCGCTCTATGAAATTTTGAGTTCTCGCTCAGTCATTCACTCATCACAAACAGTTCTTGCTTTCATTTATTTCTACCAGAATTAAAGCAGAATCAAAGGGTGCCTGCTGCCTGCCAATATTCAACGCTCTTTCATTTGTTTATCATCAAAGGCCTGCAGGAGTTGCAGCAGTAGGCACCATAACTCTCCTATCACCGCCATATATGCGGCTTATCATTATATTCCTGCTGTTGTTTTCTTCAGAGTGATAAGTCTGTCTGTTTGCACCTACCCAGGATATCGACATTACAACTGGTAGCGGTTTTACATTTTTTTAAGTATCATATTTGAATTGAAACGCTATTACTGACCTTGCACAGCTGTTGTCCCTGTGATAACTCTTCGAACGGGTGTCTGGAGTTGCACTTCGAACAAGCGAATAAGGCAGTAGACATTTTGACTTGTTCGTTCCGACTCAACAGGCCAGCAAGACACGTATGCTTTCCCGTTAGCAGAAATACTTCGTTGTACTTTACGGGTATCTGTCTCAACGTTGTGAGATAGAGTAGCTGGAACGGAATCTTTTTCAGAGACTGCCAATTCTGTTTCGTGTTCAGTGTCGTCTCGTTTTCCGGCGTTTGTACACACGGACACGCGCACAACACTTATCTGCCTGAGTAACAATAATAACAATATTATTAGAACGTGTATACTAGATATTTTTGCACGGGCGGTAGAGCGATCCTCACACCCGAGTCACCTGTGACAGCCACTCAGTCGATTGCATGTAGATAAATAGAAGGGTGATGGCGCCGATTCTACGAGTTCTGTTGATTCTGGCTTCTCGTTTTGTTCCGTACTCGCTGCTGCCACTACTGTTAAAATCACTACCACCTACCGAACTCTGGTTACAGTTAGGACAACAGACAGCGGCAGGGTACCAGAACCGACCACAACAGCTCAATGAGCTACCAAATATAAGTGTGTGTTTGTGTGTTATTGGAGTGGATATACTAGCTTGCTTTGTCGGGGTCCGCCTGCTCTCGCAGTTCAACAACAACAGCAACAACAGCAACAACACACAACGAACATCGTCTTCTCTGACGCTGCGGCCGCCGCCGCCACCACCACCATTCGACACCCACCAAAAACTAATGACACAATCACAACTACACACAAGCACACACCCAGTCATGTACACATGCCTAACAATATACGTCGATCGTTTCCCTGTGTAGCACGGAAGGTTGCAGGGAGAACACAGAGAACATGGGCGTAAGCACTTATTCGCCGATGTTGTTGTGCAGAACTGGCAGACGGATGAGGGATCGACAAAGAATAAAGAACAATAACAGAGCAGCAAGCAGAATGAGCTAAATGAATGAATGCATTCGTTCGTATGGCCGGCGACTCGGAAATATGATTCCGACAGACAGTCGATAGGCAGCTGAACTGTCTGTATGCGGGTTTAGGTAGTACGAAACTAGTTCTCTTATGATGACGATGGATGATAGTGAGCGTAAGCAAAAAGCTGACTGAGAGACGAGTTCGTGGCGCGCAAATAGCCAGCTGAGGTTGAGGCTAGCTAGTTTTAGTCACTTTAATTACTAATGACCTTCTTTTTTCGGCTGAAATACATAGCGAGCTGTAACGGTCATCTGTAAAAAATAGATTAGAATTGCTTTAATAATACATATAAAATGTTTTGCAGAAATTGGAATGTCGCAGTCTCCACAAAGAAAATCTGCTGAAACCTCTCAACCCTAGAGAGAGCGACATTGCTCTATGAAAACAGAATTCGAATAAACTACAACGAATATAATAGATAAACATTTGATCAATCAGCCTGTTTGGTTATCAGCGTATATCCATAAATAAAAATTCTCACTCAAGTTTCTTTTTACGACAAATCGATGACAGAGACGCCCATCTGAAATGAAATCTTTAGTTAATCAATATATTTTAGCTATTTACATCACCTTCCTGTGTCAAGGTTCTGTATCTCATACCAAACTCAAAATCTGAACAAAGAGTGCGGGCCATAACGTATGTAGCCGAGGGCCTTATTATGCAGGCCAGTAAGACAAAAAAATAAACAGGTTTGGTTTCAATCTTTGCATAATTATTTGTGTTATTGCTTAGGTGACTACATCGAAGTTTAAGTGTCAAAACCTAATAATTAAAAGCAAGCCTTCCTAGGGTATACACAATTCCTTAGTTATCTCAAAATCTACGAACAGCAAACCCATGATTTAACTATAACACGTCTTTAGATAAGTCTGCTATATACTTAACACAGGTACGTCGAGGTACAACATCTTAGATACGAGTGATATTTCTGCAAACGTGAACAGGGCACATTTATATGGCTTAATTCAATCGCCTCTTGTGATCAGATTACTTTCCACATTTAAATTTCCCCGTCATGTTGGTGCCGTTTCACTTTTTCTGTTCATTTTTACGATATATGTGGTTGGAAGAATAACACGAACTTACGAATTAAATTGTCAAATTTTTTATTTCCGCATTCCGCGAAACATACGGCTCCAAACACTAGTATATCCGTATACACGCACTTGGTTACAACACCTAACAACTAAGTAACAGTGGAATTTTGCATAAAACAAATTTCTGTGTGGTATATACGACGCCAATAAATAATTCACGTTCGCTTTATAACGTCCTAGTGCCTAACGTTTTCATCGTTTTGAATAATTTGCGCTATACAGTCCACAACAGTTTGTGCAGTCACATTCGGCGGGTAAATTTTACATCTCATTCCAAATTCCCGAGATCTGTCTTATACTCCTACTCACTTGCAATAATTAATGGTCATCTTTTCCACCTATGTATTCTCTCAGGTCCTTCTTATGAACGAACAAAAATTTGTTGTACCGAAAAATAGGTGATTGAACAGCGATTGAATTAACTCGGGGATTCATTTCACCCTGTCACTAATCAGTGCCGCGTTATGTTGCTGATTCCAGAGGTGCGCATAGAAAGAGGATGGTTGCGCCAGAAGGCTCTTATGATTTCCCGATTCGATGATATAACCGTTGCGCAGGACAAAGATTTGGTCAGCGTCAACAATTGTTGATAATCTGTGAGCTATGCACAACGTCGTTTTGCCTGACGCAGCTCTCCCGAGGGCCATCATGATTTTCTAAATCATACAAAGGAGAGAGATATACATCAAGAAAATTTTTGAAAATCAGTCTTCAGCTTGCAGGGACGGTGGAACATCTGGAAGAAGGGCTTTTAATTGATTCGCGTATTACGTATGATAAATATTTACCGAACTAATTTCTTGCTACTAGACTAATTCGCTTACGTGTTCAGTGATGGAGTCAAGAGAACTTGTAGCTTCATCGAAGATAAGAATGGGTGCGTTTTTCAGAATCGCTCGCGCGATAGCGACTCGCTGCTTTTCGCCTCCAGAAAGTTTGAGACCGCGTTCACCAACCTGGAGGCGAAAGGTAAGGTACAATATATGTAAACGCTTGCGTCACAAGACAAACGTCTTTTCTAACAGTAATACATGTAGGCAGTGCGTATATTGAGCCACGAACATGCTTGCACTTAACTTCCCTTCTGACTAAAGATTAAATTCAAACCAAATCAGAAGGTACCTGAGTGTCGTATCCTTTAGCCCAGCCTTGGATAGAATCGTGAATCTCTGCCATCTTTGCAGCGCTTTCCACGTCTGCAGAGCTTTTAGTTAAATCACCGTAATTGAGATTGAATCGGATTGTGTCATGAAAGAGTACGGCTTCCTGAAGATAATACGGTATATATATTAGAGAAGGACATCTTTGTTATCTTTTTGTCTTAGGATGTTGTTCTAGACAAACACCTTAAAGCTAAACTGCATGTATGCTATATTTGATTCATTCTGACGCCCTAATCAAGTTAAAGAAATTGTTGTTTCTTTATCAAAGGCAATACTATGCGACCAAATAATACTTTGCCAATCATAAACGAGACTGCTCACTTATTATATTGTCGCAGGTATGTAGTTCAGAATAAATACTAACTTGTGGAACAACGGCAATATTTTGCCTCAAGCTGTCCAGGTTGACCTTTCTTATATCTTGACCGTTGATCAGAATGCGGCCGCTGATAGGATCAAAGAAGCGGTAAAGCAATCTCACTGTTGTTGATTTCCTATAATAAAACAATTAACAAGCGAAAAATGTTTATTTGAACCTACCATTAATGATGACTGCAAAGAAGGCTAAGCAAACTCTCATGTAAGTACGGAACACAACGTGTTGCACATTTTTCTTAGTTCAGTCAGAGCTATATCGCCCGCAAAAACTGGGCGGACAAATTTGCCGACAATGGCTACAGAAAATAAATACCTCTAATTTACTAAAGGCCCCGCTTAACTATGTTGGTAACCGATAAGACTTACCCGCTACCACTACCCCCTACTAAGGCGACTTTCTTCCCTGTTGCAATACTGAACGATACACCATCGAGTATTTTCTGGCCAGGAATATAGCCAAACGTGACGTTCTCGAATTCGATGTTTGCCTTCTCCTTAGTGACAATGAGTATAGGGCCATTCTGAAATAGAAGCACATCTATATTAACGCTACTGTAAGCGCTCGTAGTACATTGCCGCCTTATACGTTACTATTTGTGTATTTATACTATCGAAACATAACTTGTATGTGGTTTTTGTCAAAGTGATAACCAAATTCAAATAAAAGCGATTTCTGTGAAACTTAAGGGTTCATTCTGCGCGGAAAACTGTACGATAAATTCATCATATATATATATATTATAGTAGTATAAGTATACATATATATAAAATGACTTAACAAAAAATATTTAAGATTTAAAATATACCGATCAAATTCTTTTTCTACTACATTTCTACTTACTTCAACTACAGTTATATAGATAACGTCTTCATAACCGAACTTCGCTAATCAGGTAGATCTTTGAATATACTAACTGATGAAACAGGTAAGCGTAGTTTGGCTATTTAGAACTTACTTTAATTTCTGACTTTTCAAGATTTATGCCGGCATGTACCTGTACACTGCTGATCATAGTTTCCATTTGTGATAACGCAAACATAGTTCGCATGTCGATTAACGCCTGACGGACTTCGCGGTATACGGACCCAAGAAAGTTCAACGGCAAGGACAGCTGGAAAAGGAGGCCGTTTACCATGACGAGGTCACCCACAGTTAGGTGTTCTGAAAAAGCATTAGCGGATATTTCTTAAGTTAGGTGCGGTACTAAAGTATTCGCTGGTTTTTGATGTTCATTCGAATTCGATCTGTAGTAATTGGACTGCTTTCAAAATAGTTTATTGATATAAGGCGCACTTAGAGTTGTTATTAATCCTTAGTACAAAAGGAATCATTCCCATTTCTTGCTTACGTGCAGCCAGTGATGGTTACTGTCGTTTACTCTGTTTCTTATTTTTGTTGTTTACACACATGACAGACTAATAATCATTTGCCACCCGCATAGGCCAAGTCATTCTTAAGCTCAACTGTAAATATTTTCCGGTCTTAAAATTAAAATGTTTATCTGTTTACTTGTTACGCCCCGTAGGACATCAATGGACCCATTAATATCAGAAAACGTGTTAGAGCCTAGTGAGCTAGATAGCTTTAGTCAGTGATGAATAAGACAATAGCTTCAGTTTGAAGTTTTTATCAGGTGATTTTTTTTAACTATATATGTATTATATGTTGATATATAAAGGTCCCGATTAAAAATCAAGGAATTTGCGTTTTCAGAATGCAACCCCAAAAGTTCGTTCAAGTGTGAGTCCTATTGAATCAAAGGTATTGTTAGATATAATAAGGGCAAATTACATGAATACCACATAAAGATGCATAGATTGTTAACACTTACCGCCAATAATTTCGTTACAGGCGAGATACATAATGGTCGCCAGTGATGCGCTAAAGATAGCGTTTTGACCAAAATTAAGTGCTGCCAACGAGGTTGTTGTTTTTAGAGAGGCCTTTTCGTAGTCACCCAAAATGGCGTCGTACTGCTGAACTTCATACTTTTCATTATTAAAGTACTGAAATGATTAACACAGGTAATATTTATGTTAAAATATGACCGTGATGTGGCTCTTCTCAAACAAATTAACTTTTAAAGTTGAGTGACGAATTAGCCGTTATAATATGCTGATATCGAAAATATTCTTGTATGACTGTATTTTATGATATATTTAATTTCAGTAAATAAATGAATAATGGAAGTTCACAAAAAAGCAATTGAATGCTCACTACCTTAACCGTCTCATAGTTCATCAGCGAGTCGATAGCTCGAGAACCTGCACGGTTGTCGGCCTTGTTCATGTCAACACGAAACTGAGTTCGCCATTGCGTAACTGCCAGGGTGAATGCCGTATAAGAACTAATGCATCCTAAGGTGACCATCGCGAACTGACCTCCACATTTGTACCACTAAAATGTAATGGACCTGTTCGTAAACGTTTATCTAGTTCTAAAAGATAAGACATTAACTGCGTCAGATGCAATACCTAAACAGCTAACTAAGGAGACCATGAACCTTACATAATACATTGACAGAATGATTTAAATGGTCTAAATCTCCAACGTTTCTGTGCTTTTTGAAACAACTAAGAACCGCGAGAAATAATCTTACATTCTGCGATAGAATATTATGCAAATTTCATATTAGATGTGAGACGAAAGCATCCCAGAAAAAAAGCATTATTCTATGATGCTTTTTCTTTTTTAAATATTTCCTTTTATTATTCTATAAGTAAATATAGAATATATAAATTCTATAAGTTAGAAATAAGGTGGACAACAGCAACTGTGTGCTTTGCCTTGACCAGGCGAAACTGCACCAAAATCGAGACAAACGAACTCATTTTAGAGAAACTTACGAGGATCGTGCTAACAAGTGCGACCTCAACTATTGTCGGCACTACATTAAAAACTAAAGCTGTAAGGACGAAATTAATTCCTCGAGTGCCGCGATCCATCGCCTTTGAGAGGGCGCCAGTCTGACGCTGGAGATGAAATCCCAAGTCAAGATTGTGAAGATGGCTAAATAGACCTCTACCCATTGAGCGGATAGAGTGTTGTGCTACTGAAGCAAATACAGCATTACGCAACTCGTTGAGGCCAGACGATCCGGCTCGAACCAGGCCAACTGAAAAACGATTTGAAATTCGTACGCTAAATCCCATTTAAACTGTATTTGAATAAGCTATAAAGATAAATTTACAAACATTTTATTCTAATCAGCAGTTGATGGAGCTATTTTGCTAATCAACTCATAGCCCATCATATCAACTGACGCTAGAATGTATTCTATGAATTGAGATACTGAAGCGACACTTAATGGCTGTAATTTTCATAAATCATAAATTACTGTGAGCAGATATCCGTAGAATGAGTGCCAGCTAGCGTACGGTACTTACAAGCAAGTACAAGAGCGAAGGCAGTGGAGGCGATAGCCGAAGGAACATCACCAAAGTGAAGCTTGCTTCCCGTGTATTCGTTTAAACTGTCGACGAGGTATTTGAAAATGAATGGAACCGACACGTTCATCAGTTTTGCGGCTACCAGGATACCCAACGCCGACTGAAACAACATTTAACACTTAATAATAGTGACGAAATAATAGTAACTGAAAGGAGCGCAAGAACAAGTAAGCGAACAGTTCTCATTGAGTTAAAGATTATCTCTGCGTCATTTCTAAAGGCATGGCCCTATTCTACTTAATGCTACCAATTTGGTTAATTCTGCAATAAATCGAATCACCGGCGCATCTTACCTACAAAAAAATATGTTGGCGTGTTCGAATCATACACATGGTATCCTATCACGGCCACTTGTACTTTACATTAGAAGTATATACATATACTTTACCAAGACTGTTCGTCGGATGTGTGGCTTGTCCTTAGGCCAAATGTACTTGAACATCTCGCGCACAATTTTCCATCCTGTTATTTTGTCCCTGTCGACATCAATCTTTGGTGTGATAAGCGAAGAGTTATGGTCGTGGTCATGTTTCGATACACGACTTAGTTGGACGGTGCGTGTTAAAATCTAAATGGACCACGCAGACACCTCATTAGTTTTGTTTGTATAGGCTGACTTTTATCCTACACGGCCACTGCCAAACCGTATATAGCATGCAGATACTAGAATATCCGCTAATAAGCTCCCTTAAATGTATTAAACGGCAGCGCGCGTGAACTTAAACGGTGATTGCTATAAGAGGTACGTATAGGTAACCGGCTTATTTTTTACGACGTACTTGTTGGACTTAAATGCCAATTTACTGACAAAACCACATAAATATTGACATTCGTACATTAATATTTTAAAAAATGCCTTTTGGAAGTCTGCTGAAAGGGTGCACCGTTATGAGAATCAACGTTTTTGCCCCTACACTTATTCAGCCAGTACAGACTAATTACAATATTCGAGCTGTGGAAGAAAAAAACCAATTTAATTTCGAATCCACTTCGCATAGTCGAGAGCTGTCACCTGAGTCACAAAGTATTCTGCGATTAAACAAAGTATCTGCTTTATAACGGTACCATTATTCTTGAGCGTAGCTAACAAGATTGTTGTAACAGCTGCGGAGAACGACGTTAACCCCGAAGAAGATAACACCAAGTTATACTGAAGTCATATTTGGTCTCTCCTGGACATGACGAATAAATAAAGAAGTATCTTAAATGCATATAATTAGGAATATTAACTAATTGTGCGGAAGAATTAGAAGCATTGTAGAAGAAGCTCTGTGGAGAATCGAAAAGTTGAAGCCCGACGCAGTACTAAGGAGCTACGCAAAAGCGTGTGAATGTAGTTGGGATTTTTAACAGTGGGGGGAAAAAATAGGTATTAGCCGTAATCTGTGAAGTTAATTTACTCAAAATGAAATGCTAACAATATGGCAATACCAATTCTAAATGGAAATCGGCAATGTTAATAATAGCACAAATAAAATGCCTGCACGCGCAGGTACTTTCCGTGTTTTATGCGATACTGCCCTTTCGTCAACTTGTATTATTCAAAGCAAAGGCAGAACATAAAGATATACCACGACAGTTTTGTTCTTTTTCACAAAGAGCCTGAAGCCTGAAGCTGAATAGTATTAAGTTAAAAAATACTAAAAATAAAAAGGTAGCAAAAAATCAAAATCAGTTAATTTTTGCTCGTCGCAAAAATACAATGGCACGACGACGGAGTCGCAGAATCTACATAGGCCAATGAGTCACACCTACTAAAGGCTATGAGTTATGAACGTGCAGAAGGTTGCTATGATATCGACCTTGACACGGGATGGCAACATTTTGCAATACCCGCTCAAAATGCTTAAAAAGCGATTCTAATGAGAGACGTTAGGCAAACTAATGGTCAATGAAGTAAAATGACTTTATAAAAAGCTACAATAAAGACCTCAATTCGGCAAGCTGATTTAGCTCGGGAATTGAGTCTTTAAGCTCGATTGAATGTAGTTACACGAAACCGAGCACCATTTAGGCTAATATGGTAGATTTATTGGACGTGCAACGATACCTTGTGCGGAGCCTTGGGAAGCACACGCAGCTGCGAAAGACGAGATTCCATTACAATTATATTCGGTTCCATAGAGTAAGCCATAAAAAGTCGGTGTATATATCTACACATTTTATAGAAATACATGGCTGAAATGCTTTGAAGTTTTATATATTACGCAATGCATGTACGATCGTATTAACTGTTTTGTAAGTCGACAGCTTCACGATATCCCAAACCCATTGTTACTTGTGACTAATTAATAATTTTGATGAATTTGGCCTTTTACTCTAAAAATATGTTCGCTATGATTATCAACTGATAATACAGTAAAACATATAAATCTGATAATTTTATTTATTGCTCCTTCAAAAGAATAAGCTACTGCTCCAGGAAAATTCCAAAGTGTCTGCAGGTTGCCCAAGTAGAAATGCCCCAGCCAATTTTTCGAAAGAATGGTCTCAGATATGATCAGTTGGCCCTAAGTTGGAGGTGAAAGCATATCAAAAAAATTTCACATTTCACTTTTGCGGAGTTTTGTGCAACATCATGTTTTACTGCTGCATCTAAACTTCATTACAAAAAGACCAGATGTCTTGAGACGTTTTTTTAATAATTCTCTCCAGTCAATTAAAACTTTGATCTGAATGAGACACTTCTACATTAATTATAGTATGTTGTTCAAAACAGTTAACCAGAATGTGTTTGAATACAGATCAACGAAGCAGCCTTTGTAGATTATCTGTTGCAAACATAAAACTGCGTTCTCGTTGTGGAAATGTGTGCGAATATCTGACAGGATCGAACCTAATGAAAGAGCTAAATAGAATCTGCATATGGCAATTGATCCGGTGAGTCATGAGCTTATAGACCAGCAACACACAAGTCATATCACTATTTCAATATAGTTCATTAATATAAACTGCCTTATTATACCTAATATGTAGGTACCAATGTTCCAGAGCCTATGTGGGTGTACTGTCATGTTATCATTTCTGCGCAGGGTTATATAACGTCATGACATCAAAATCGAACACCAATATCCGCAGTGACCGACTGGCCAGAATTTCAACCACTGTTCGAAGTGGGCTCAACCTAAGTCCATATAAACCTTTTTGCGCACGACGAAATTATCCGCACTGAACCTCGATGGTTGTAAGGAGGTAGTGTGTCTCTTAGGCACTAATTGAACTAATGGGGGTCCCCGACAAGGCCGTAAAACACACCAAGCCCGCAGGGTCCCTGCGCCCCGTAGCGCAGCTCCTAAGCACACGGACATTTTTGTTTTGCATTGCTGCGGCGAAGCGCGGCCAAATTTGAATCACTACCACCACAAAAAGCGTGACCAATAGCGGGCAAGCGGTGCTTTGGTAAATACTGGAAAATTCTCACAATGCATGTGCATAGTAAGTACGAATAAACGAAGTAATCGTTTTGTTCAGCGTTAAATAATTATCAAAAATAATAATGATAAGCAGAAAAATTGCAAATTACTATCAAAGTTAATAACTAATACTGTTTTACAGGTGTGTTACATAAACCGGAGATAAGCTTAGGCAGACCCTCGTCGATTAGACTTCTAGTGGAAGAAGCTAAAATCATCTTTTAATTGCACATGTTAAGAGAGGTAGAGACAGACTCCTAGTGGAAGCAAGCTTTGTAGCGCTAAAACTAATGAGGTGGTTGGCTTACTTGTCTATGTGGAAGGTATACTTAAAAGAGCGCTTCGGCTGAAGGAAAGGGTGCGGTATTCCCATTAACACTTTCATCGCTGCCCCATTACCAATGGCACGAAACGTTTGTATGTAGAGTGAATGAGATTAAAAATAAAAGAGATAAAAAATAAGAGAGGTAAAAAAATGTATGCAGAGTTCTACGTTAATCTTTAGAGTTTAATAGAGTTTTGCGTTAGACATTGCTACAAACGGCACCAGTTTTGTACTGGGAATTAAAGTTCTACGAACTAGAACTTGTTCAACTATTACATAGTGTGTCACCCACAAGCTTTGTTGCTATCGAATACAGGTAGCTGTTAAATTTCGTAAGCAGGTGAAGGAAAGTAGCGGTCGACATCACCGAAGTCACCGCTACTAGTTATAATCCCCTTACTGTTAACTGACAAGTAAAACGTTTATTTACTTAGAATGTAATCATCGCAGGTACTGTACGTTGCCGGCGTAGGCTGCAGCACTCATGTGATTCACGCATACCGTTGGCATCACTAACTTGGACCTGTAGGCAGGACCATTATAAACCGCGTCGTTTGTTTTTTATTACTGCCACCCCGTCAGGTCTGCTTTGCTATTTTTTTACATTTTGCCTTGGTAGACCACTGCTAAAGAATTAAACAAGCGTCTTCCTGACTAGTGGGTCATCTTTGTATGCGAAACTCTGCATGTACATTTTTGTATGTAAGCTTTTGGTTTCCAGCTGTTTGAGTCAATGGTGAACTAGGACATTGCCACACAAGAATCTGCTTTTTTTCTGTACTTCAACACTGTTCTTTTTAGGAGGGACTCTGCATAAAAAACAATGTTTTCTCGATACAATGTAAATGTACATTATAAATGGTTCGTTGTAAAAACGCTGCTTCATAGTTTAGATTATTCATCTAAATTTTTACAGTCATCTCGCTTCCATGTTAGTAATACGTCTTGGTTAGATCTTTGCGTAGTACTTTTTGTCACACACACTCTTCTTTCACTGTAGAAATATCTGCGCTTACGACGAAGGCGTTAGTTTCAAACATTGATCCAGTCCATGATTGAATGTCCGGAACGGCCAGTAGTACTTGAATTACTAATAAAATGGAATAATTTGGGTAATCACTCGATTGTCAATTCATCATGTTTTGTAGTATCAGATCATACAGATCGCGTAGCTTAGGGGAAAACACTGAAGAGTTTAGGGCACATTTCAATCACTAGGTTCGAGTCCTATACTATTTTAGGATGCGTTTTAAGTTGATCCTACGTAACGCGTGAATGAAATGAATTTTGTTGTCTTCATAGAAAAATTCACTATTTTTATTGTGAACTTTATATTAGATTCAAAGATAAAAAGACAACAGTTACATTTTTCCGGTTTTGCTTAAGCTAAAATCGCAGAAATAGATAATTAATGTGCGTATTCTGGCGACGAATTTTTTAATGTGATCTTCTGTTGTTTGTGTCCAAATGAAGACATCAAGGACAGTCACGTTTACGTTGAGCAGAAATCATACATTTTCATTAAGCTAAAGGTTAATTGGTGTAGACACCGTACTCAGTGACAGCAGAAAGCACTGATATGTGCCCGTTCATAAACCAGAGACGGTTTAAGGTGTGAGTCCGGTTCTATACTCTCAGCGCATGTTATACAAAGCACCAAGAAAAGAACTTATCCCAGCATTTTATGAAGACTCGCATGAGCAATGGACGCGTAAGTGCCAGTGAGACGTAAAGGCCATTTCGATGTCTGTACACGGCTGGAGAGATCGCAGCGTGTTAGCCTGAGAGCCTCAAGGAAGGAACCTATAACCCTCTGAGGAGGGTCCTCCTTCTAGGAAGCTATTAGAGAAATGATTCTCGTTTTCGCTGTTAGATATCCTTGTAGCCACCCATCGGTATTCACGGGATGCGTAAGAGACGAGATGCGTCGACCGGCAATGGACGAGACAACCCGGGGTCTTTCAACGAGGCCTGCTGCTTTCTTTACGTTTTTGAGCTGATGCAAGCAAGAAGTAAGAAATTGTACCGCTTTTACTTTCACTTTACCCCAGGAAGCAGTGAAGTAAAAGTGCGAGATCAGGACACACAACTCCTGACTCTCGTTCACTCCGTTCTGACGGCATCCGTTTAGCTGCTCTACTGAGTGTTGCCGGCTCTCTTGTAGTGAGCCATATTTTGTGAGCTACCTTTGATGGGTTCCGACTCCTGATCACGCCCATTTCCGGCGCGATTTCCGGAAACGTTCGGGCGCCCGGTTGACCAAGCGGCTGCTATGTCGTGGCGCTGCTGCTTTTATGTCTGGCGCAACTTCCAATCCCTGGGAGTCAGCTGCCTGCGCTCCTTTGGTCCCTTTGCTGCCCGGTGTATGGAGGCGAGGGCGGCTCCTGCTGCAGCATTGATGATGCGCGTTCTGCCGAATGCTCGCGTTTGCGCAGCGGCGAGGGCGCTGAACCGAGCTGCAAGTCGTTCACGTTAGCCCGGCGCCTCCTTCCGCCGTTTCCAGCATCGAGCTACTGAACTATGGCGTGGATAGTTTAGAGAGAACGCTACAGGATGTCGCAGTGGCATAGTTGGCGCACCATCATGAAGCAACATCGGTGGACGCAACGGTGATGATGATAAGCTTTTGCTGAAAAGATACGCTTTCTAACAGTGTGATAGTCGTAAATGAACATTTAACGTCTTCGCGTATAAGAGATTTTCGTACCATCTCGCCACGCATGATAGAGGGATAGACAGGAAAGTGGGAAGGGGTCGCTAAACCCGTGTGCTCTATAAATTTGAGGAGGAAACGCTGGGAGAAAGCAAGCCGGAAAGAAGGGAAAAACAAATGGCTAAAGTAAACATTGTATCTATTCGTCGTGAAGAGTCGAGTGATCTCCAAGTGAATGCATGAATTAGTACAGAAATATGTGTGTAATATTATTATTTATATCGCACTCACCTATAGGTTTTCTGATGTATATATGAATTACTTTTATTTTTTCTTAGATAGTGACTACTGGCGTTTGGTATGAAACTAATTTATTTTTAAAATGGCTACCTGATTTAGTTAAGCTAATGACTTTGAAGAAAATCAAACTGAACGAGTTTTGGATTTTAATCTGTCAAATGTCTTAGAGTAAATAAATCTGTAAATAATCTGCATATTCCCGGAGAGGTCCTGCTTTTTAGCACAGTTGCATCTGGATATGTGTATGACGCCATATTGAAGTAATCAGATCCATGATGAATGTCTGTAGTCTTTGTAGTTTGTTTACGATGTTAGGTAGATCTTAGGCAAGTTAGCTAAACTCTCAGCGCAAACGCAATAGAAATGATCTAAATGGACGTGTATTGTTAATATTAAAAACATTTAGTAACAATTGCACGAGATATCAAATTTATAATAATATTATTATTTGACTTTTGCCTGGCTACGTTATGCTTATGATGCCTGAAGCAGTTAATAACAGTAGTTGATCCAACGACTTTTATTCAAATCGTGTGGTATCCTGATGACCTAAATCATATTAAAGATAAATCTCGAACATTGAATTACATACAAGAATATTTACACATAGGGAGCTAGCAGAGACTACGGTTTTCAAAACGCAAAACGCGAAGGGAACTGTAGATTTGCTATGACAGCCTTTATTAAACTTTACGACAACAACATATATGCTATGTAATATTCTGAATACGTTGGTTCAATACGGGTAACTTCTTCAGGGTTACGGAGGTCGGCCTCGTTTTATAACGACGATGAAAAGAAACCTATTTAATAATTAGCCTTAATGGACTTCAAGCAAGCTCGCGGTACTATTTAGCCGATCGTCAGGTAGGCCGTCCAGTAGATAAAAATGAAGAGAAGAAACACCGGCGGAAATAGAATTCGAGATGCCTGAAACAGACGTTTATAAGCGTTTATTTGGTACAGTGTGTATCGTTTTAGGGTTAATTGATCGAAAAGAGACGCTCCTAATTTTCAGCCCGGGCGCAACATTAACAGAACCAACAACAAATACAGATCACTTGTGCAGACGTTCTATTGAATTCAAACCGAATAAAAACTACACTCTACATTTGTCAGAGCATCAACCAATAATAGAAATTGTCTGTAAGGCTAGCGATGAGGCTGATTGATCCAGAGGGTGGTAAATGGCGTTGTCGGGTACGGTAAGTGCCGACATATATGTCACTGATCAGCCGCATCATTTATGAAATTTGTCCGCTGGAAAATGGTATCGTGATGTTCCTGTACCATTGAGTAGAACTAGAAAAGCGGTGCGAGTGTCGAATTTATAAGCAAAACAGCAAAAAAAAATGGTGGCTGACCGTTAGGTGGGTCACAACTTTAAGAAATCCTCGGATAGCTTAACCAGTTTTGCCGTACAAAAAGAGCACTAGTGGCGAATGGCAGCTTCATGCAATTCCTTGGCGGCGCGTTAAGCGAGATCCTTCTCAAGCAACCGTCTGTTATTATTCGCGCGGCGCCGAAAAGATATATCGACAGTGTCGTGTGTAACGCAGAAGAGTACCATAACAACACCTAGTTGCAGTCCTTTTGCAAACTGGTTATCATGAATGTATAAAAGTTGAAAAGAATAGATCAGGAAGGTGGAGAACTTGAAAGAAAATTTCAAAGCGACAAGTGATATTAGTGCAAAGAAAGTAATTGCAAGAGATGCGAACTTTTTAGCTTTTTCGCTCGTTAAATCACAGCGCCCGACCATCGCTTCGCAGTCGGGAAAATTGCCTACAACAGTGCCAGGGAAGTTAAGCCTTTTTTTAAGCGTGAATAACAGAATTCAATCGAATCAAAAGATGTCCACCTAAAGACCACTGATAATAACAGTATGAAAAAACTTGACCGATAAACCCAATTCAGTTCAACCGAACTTCAAAAGCCGAACGTCTTAACAGCCTGGTCAGTTTCAATAGGACGAGTCAATACTAAACGAGACCACCATTAAAGGATCACCGAGAATGCGAAAGACAACATCAGCCAAACAGTTTGATTATGACCAACAAATTCTATACACCCCAACGCTCGAGGACTTGATGGAGTAGATCTTGGCAGCACTGACGACTGGAGAGCCGGTTCTAGTACGCGACACGCACGCTGCGGCTTTTGAAGCCGGGCTCTGAGCAGACGCTAACAATTACACAGTGGAACTGTTAGGATGCTGTAACTCTGGCGCACCTGTTGTTGGAAGCCCTGAATGTACAGACACATTCGCGCCAATGTAGACTTGAGAAGATAGCCCTTTTAACTTATTTCGGTTCTATTCTGTGTACTGCTCTGTCACAAGGAGCAACGGACCAAACTATCCTAGCTGAGTTATATTCGATTTTTACAATCAGAAGGCAGGAGACCTCACAGCGTATTTAGTGGAGAATAACGTAATTTCCACACGTGTTCAGCAACTAGGTCTCGCGGCAGTCTATGTTCGGTCGACGGATTTGGAATCGAAACTCGTCAGTGGACCATTGTCTTCTCATTTTGTTTCTCTTTCTGTTATTGCCGATGAAGTGAAGCCCGCCTCGACCAGCAAAACTCGTGCCGTATTACCGCTCTTTAAAATACCCGGACTATGGTTGCTAGATAGTCAATAGTATCTAGATATTGACCTTTCGAAAATATGCAGCAAAAAGTTCGGTTGTCGGTATATATTTGGGATGATGGTAACCAAGGATAGAATGAGGTTTCAGAATGAGGATCATTCATTGCCATAGAAGTAAGCATTTGTGCTTACATATTCATAGTAATAGACCTCGCTGTTCAAGTTCCGCCTGCGCGAGACGCCGAAGGAGAAGTTATGTCGCAACGCCTAGACATAGACAAGCACTTGGAGTGCAACGAGTGGAAGAGACGAAATTCTCTGTGTACCTGACGTTATGAATCCCAAAACTTACGCGTAACGTCTGATTGAAATTGTTCAATCTACAGTACGGCCCCTTTGTCGTCTTCGGTGGCAGAAGCCGTGGTTCAGCTATACTTGCAGCTTTGCCCAGAAAGGCCCGACAGGCTTCAAGCTTATAGCCAAAATACAGCTCGAGTTGTTACCTTTAGTTTCCGTTTTCTGTCGACGATCTGTTAACAAAAATATGCATCACAAAGGCATCTTCACCGTGACTGGGCGAAGATTTGTTTGATTGCCGATGCAGAACGTTAACCATACGAGTGACTAACGCATCACGGCAGCTAGGCGGCTTACTTGATAAGCTCCTTGGCTCTCATAAATAACCTACTGGATATGTTTATGATAAGGAATAGGATATTACGTTGGATGTCCTTTTCTGCCGCAACATAGTCAGAAAGGATCTCAATACAACGCAACACTTTCCAATATAAGACTTCACAGTACGAGAACGTATACAACAAGGTCTTGGGAGCCTTAATCCGTTTGGATCGGGTCTGAAATGAACATCTTAAATGTGCCGTCGTTCTGGCCCCATCCTAGACAGGACTATTTAATAAATGTTTACGTACTACTACAGTGGAAATGCTATTCTGTTAGTATTTCTTAGTAAAGGGTTGCCGAACCGTGTTGTCATAATGGCGGGAAATGGCAAAAAAGCGTTTGTTATGAACTGCTCTCTACTACTGCTACTGAGAGGCTAGATAGCCCCTACGAAAGCGTATGCGCGATCTCAACGAAGCGACGTAGGTTTGAGAGAGAATGCTCTACAGAAGTGGCGTGCTGGATTCTGGTAGTCAACGTCAAGAGAGCACTGGCCGTGTTGCCAATCAGTCCGCTATACGCGCTGTTCATCGATTTTGAGGCAGCCTTCTAGCTGGCGCCCGGGTACAAGGTTATGTTTACACTGGCCGAAATGCGCATTTCTTTTGATGTGCTCAAATTTCTACCTGCGATTCCACATGAGAACAGAATAACCGAGAGTGGCCGAACTCTTGTTTCTCATAGTTGACCTGGCTCAAGGCTAGAACCGAATGCTACTCTTATTCCTCATCTTGCTGAAGGGCCTACCTGATGAAACAAAAAAGTTAAGGCAATCAGTATGTCAACGAGGTTCGACGTGTAGCAAAGTCTAGCCTGGTTCCACGTGGAAGTCACAAATACGAGACAGACTGTAAATCTGACCAAAACGGGGCTGCTGAAATTTAGAAGGGGACGCAAAAAACTGGTCATTAACACCTTACATTTCGCCAGGTCACTTCTTGCCTATAAAACTGGTAAAAAATGTAAACCGGTTTCCGTACTTGAGGTTTTTTGCTCTGCAAATGCCACGCGCATCACGAAAAATAGGAAGATAGCGTTGATAGCCAATCAAATCGTCTCATCGCTTGTCTTTAGTGATCGCTTTTAGGTTCTTCGATCACAAGATAATATCGGTTCCAGCGTATAAGATACGCGTCATTTGGGAAAAGTCTAACAGTGGAAAAGCTCGAGCAATTAAATTGCGTTGCCCGAGAACGCATGTTGTGCATAGCAATGGAAGATTTCAAGATCAACATTAAGAACTGGGAGTGAAAATTATTTAGGGGTCTCTTTGCTTCGAACACGAAGCGGAACAACGAGTGAAAAGGATCGAACCGGTTAAACAGATTTGCTGTCACTCGTTTTGTCGTGCATGGATCCTGTAGTAGACTCTACAGTGACCCAGGCTTCTACGAGTGTGACGATACGTAGCGGGCAAATTGCGATAGATATCCTACCGTTACATTCCTGTGCCATTTTCGGGACACATGGCAAGTCCTTTAAAATAGCTGTTATAGGCCCAACAAGACTTGACGTAGCGTTTTAAGTGGTTCTATATACTCTCTTTGACGCTCGGATAGTATATATAGCAAAGGTGAGTAACGGAATTTGATTAATGGGTAAATTATTAGTTCGTATTCCACGGACGTTCACGGTTCAAAATGTCGACCATCGGTGGAAAGTTCCATTTCGACGAATTAGGTTCAAAGGGGTACCATTTATTGCTGATACCTAGTTTATTGGGCAAATAGAATAGTAGGGATATTAAAATATCTAACTTTTTTTAGTCGATTTGTGAGCGCACGTATCAAAACAATCCATTGAAGAAATTTACCTTGTCAATGACGTTGGTGTGCCGGAAGAGCGTCTGTGCTACTGTCATCCTGCGACCTTTGGTATCTTTGTATTTGTCTGGTTGTGAGTAGCGATTCTGCAGACACACCATTTGTACACGCAGTATACACATCCATACGTTAGATTGTCGCAGAAAGTAACGGCGTCTATATATGAAAATAGAAAGCATTTTTGTCGTTCCGTGACTATGTGATGCATACTGTTTACTGTTGGAAACTGTTTTCAATAGACCGTTTTCTGGGCCGTTTCTTAAATAGTATACAGAATGCTACATATGTTTTCCGGTAAGTCGATTATGTCGAATATGCCGTACGTAAGGACACACCTTTGGTTTTGCTATCTATCATGCGATCTATATACGAAGTGGATCAGTCATACAGTTAGAGGTCACATCATCAATGAATTTGTCAAATCAATATTAATTGCAAATTAGGCCTTCATTCATCCATAGCGTGTTGATAGGTGTGTCGTCTTTTTGATGATAAAAAAAAAAGTAGTAATTCCTCATCTTGAGCTAGCCCTTCTAGCTGATGTCGATGACATCTGCTGAAACTAGGTTAACCTTAACCTTAAAAAGTTAAAGTCGCAAAATCGTTTTCTGCGCCTAGCCCCTAGTCTGGCTGTGCGAAGCTTTACTCACCAAACTGTAGAACTTTTCCACGTTGTAGGCGATCGGATATTCAATCATCGCTAAGAAAACCATAACTAAACACATAAACAGCCATACGTCAACAGCCTAGGCACGACGACGGACGTACGGAAACGTGAGGTCGTCGAAGAAGTGAAAAAGCAATTAGTTATGCTTTGAAGATTACGAAATGTCATGGATACAATGATTAGGGGATATATTTAATTGGGTACGTTCGAAATCGTTGAACCTTGTGAGATGAGGCGCATAGTCCTACTGTGGAGATGCTAGTGATGACGATAAGCAAAAATAGGCACTGTTTCTGCGTAACTGCGTAACAAAAATAATGTTGATGCACTACTATTTAGCTTTGGTAATAGCCAGAAATTGACAAAAGGTAATTAACCGTCTTTCGGATAAACTACCTTTAAATAATCTACAGGTGGTGAATTGTTTCTTGATTGTACGATCTGTGTAACTGTCGTAAGAACTGAGGTAACTCCGATTGAGGCACGAGCTGGAGCAGCATTCACATCGAGCCAAAACGAACCCCAGGACATAACCACGACGATTCCAGTTGGGATGTAGGTATTTAATAAGCTGAAAGATAGCGAAGAGATTTAACTATGTCAGATTTGATCATCTTTCGAATCAAGCTTTAGATGCTTTGAGACGGTAGTATAATTGCAACAGCGACCCTGGCACACTCGAAATTTTGAGGTTCTAGTGCCTTTAAACCACGTGCACGATTCTACCTCGGATTCACTATACGTGTACGACATGAGTTATTTATCACTGAGGGGTTCGGAAGGGGTTCGAAGATCCACTCAATCTGCATAGAGCTAATAATGACTCGCTAATCGACGGGTGAAGTCAAGATCGTGTTGCTAGTATACTAAACTTTATTACTTGGATCTGAGTAGAGGAAACGATACCGAGGTTCTGTACTTAAAGATTATATAATCTCCGTCTGGGTACAGAATAACACTAGATTTTACCAGTTCTTGTACTGTAGACCGTGTTACAGTGAATTGACGAGACGACATAAGCCGCATGTGTTGAATTTTTTGATAATTAAAATAGGTTCAAATAGGCCGAATCGTAAAGAAAAATGCGGATATGTCTTAGCGTAGCGATCGTTTACAGTTATATCATGAAACATAAAGATATATTTAGCCACAGTTATAGTAGACAACGAGACAAACCTTGCAGTAAGTCTTCTCGTAAACGTAAAATTTGCATAGAGGTAGTCGTACTCCGTAAAAATCCACTGTTCCCTGGCTTTATGGGGTTTTGGTGGAGCTACATCGAACTGCAATGGCGCATTGTGATCCACGAGATTAAGGGAAATGTTCTGATACGGAGACGACTCTTCATCCATCCAGTGCAGCGTGGCCTCCGAAGATGGAGTTGATACTGGTAACAAAGTTAATCCTCATTACCACTATGACGTTGATGAGGCACAAAACAAGTAACGCGACGGATTTGAACCTATGTTTAACCCTACTGATATTCTATGTTATGTTTGATTGAGAACCTTATATATGGCGTTTCTTTGCGTCATCGAGCGTTTTGCTAGCAACGCAAGATTAAGGCGATTGGCTAACGCGGATCTACAAAGGATAACTTAGAATTTTATAATATAAATATTATTTTCTGGTGTCTGTCACTAGCCAAAACGTAACAGCGAACGCGGCAAGATACGAAAAATTAAATATAATTATATTGTCTGATACAAAAGTACTCCATCTAGCCGCGTTTAAAGAAAGCGGATTCAGTATAAATCCTCACGATATGAACTCTGGCCAGATCACAGTTTAGCCGATAGACTATGTTATACTATCATAATAAAGACCAAATTAACTTACACAGTCCTACTTTGAGAAAACAGTGTTGGACGTCCATCGGATATTTTTGAAGGTTCATTAGGCAGTCCACTTGAAATAAATACCTGCATACCGAGCAAACATTGTTGTGTACCTTCCTAAACATCTGAATACTTGTTTTTTCAGTCAAGGAAATCATTGGCAGGGACATGTGACACAATGTTGAAAAGGGAAAAGCGGCAGGGAAACAATCCTGCAGGCATAATTGAATAAATGAAAAGTTAAACATTGGGCCAAGTACGAGTTTGAAAACGAAAGTTTTTTTTCGGCCGTTTAGTTTTTCAATACATAGATAGTTTGTAGATACGTATATACGCAAACATCATATAAACACATCAGAGAAATCAAATTTTCCATGCTAGGAACGTTGTCTGAAGATCGCTGATATCGACATAACAATTTACCCACGTAGGTGGGTATGAAAAATGTGATGGCACGATGCACGGCGTCTCTATAGTAAGCGTAAGATTCCCTGTCTGAGAGTACGGACACAACAATGAATATAGAAAAAAAGAAAACTAATACCTGGTAGTTCTATAGAGGTAGCCGTCGTCGAGTATTTTGACGAACCTGTTTGTGACCGATTCCTTGAAAAGGTAGCCACTTTTTGAATTAACAAATATCATGTCAGGCTTCCAGATTTTTGTGTAGATCTCTTCCGGCACAATGCGAACCGACGAATTCTTGATCAGATGTTCGAGAATTAAGCGATCATCCTTCCACATGTCAAGCACAAACATGTGTAGACGAAAGCCCTACATATACGGGGCGAATACAACAGTGCGAAAAATGACAAAGGCATTCATTTAACGTCACACGAAAAGTTTGCCCCGCTATCTTCTCTTGGTACAACTTAGCACGGAACAGGGATTTGCACTGGTGCTTTATCTGGCGTAGTTGATCACCTCCAATTAATCTACCTTTTATCTATGCAAACAACTGTCGGAAGAAAATTCAGGAAACGAAACAGAGGCTAATACAACTTGAAAAATTGAACTAACTTTGAATAAAATTAACTAATTTATATTTAATATAATACTACTTGTAATATAAATATAATTAATTAACGGTTGAGATATAGTGATTTGCGACCAAGGCTCGTCATATACTTTGTTGCGAGTATCGCTTGTCGCTGCAGACCTGAACTACCTTAAAATGCGTACAGGTGTCGTCATGTACGTTTGATACCGCGCTGAAAACGCACTGTTGTAAATAGTACGTTGTTTGATAGAAAACATTAACAAACACCATAGGGTTTAAGCTAGAGCAAGGTAACTAATGATCGATTCCCCATACGTAACATTGTTACGTATAAAAACAATGACGGTCGCGATCACCTGCGAGCCATACTTGATATATACATATTTATCCGCTCGCATAGGAACGGGCATGCCAGCAATCCCCTTACCCGAGCATGGCGTCGCACGTATTTTAGTGACAGGTGTACCGAAATGTATATATATATATATATGAATCGTTTTCACAGAACAAAATCGGAATGTATCTAAACACCGACAAATTATATAAAAATCAATATACCAAAGAATGACTACTAGGCATAAAGAAGGAAAGGACATCTTCAAACACGGGGCTCCGTTTTGACGAAGACTGAGAAAGAAATAATGTACATTTTACGAAGTACGTATTTATGAGGCAGGGTGTAAAAGGCTTTCGCTGTTGACAACCGCCATGTCATATTCAACATTTGTTCATATAATTTCGACATATTTCTTTCGATTCAATTTCTCTTCTAACAGAGATAAGACCCTAGCGAGATTTACTCTATTTAGTACAGTCGCTGATTGAGTAGAATACGAGTAGTCCTTTTGTCAAGCTAGAATAGATACATGTTTTATAACTATATATATATTTATTTTCCAATAAAAGCAATATCAATACCGTACTGCACAACTGATAATTGCCTGGTTGAAACATACGCCGAGAAGCACAGATCCATAATTTTCCCATATATATATATATATGTTTCTTCATTATACTTTCGCGTATCTACCTTATCATTCTAAATATACCATCATCAAACAAGTACCCAGCTTTTTTTTTTTTTTTTTTATAACCTTACCATATTGGCTTCGGATATTTCGTCGACGTCCATGATGTGGAAAGCAACGTAAACCTTAGCGGCTGTTCCATTCGGGCCCTTCGGAGGATCGGACGAGTAATATTCTTTTGGAAATATTTCCTTGAACACTGGATTAAGTGTAAATCTGACAATCAAAATTATCAGGTAAGCGGACTTCAATAAACTCATTGCTAACCGAGCATGTCCTGTATTTTTTGGTAAAATAAAAAACACACTGGTAGAATATTTTAAAAAACTATAAACATACAAAATGTTATTGAGCAGCTACTGCAGTTGTGAATTGGTTGAAATTTTTCAGCGCCATTTTGTAAGGCGTCACACAAGTTTTCAAACCATTTTAAAATTAATTCTTTAGATGCGCATCTAAGTTGACGCTTCCTCTAACAGATGGCCTGGTGCGGAAACGTCAAAAGAAGATACTTGGTTGAGTTTCGAAATACGACGTAGTCAGAAATCAGGATTTGGTATCGACATTAACATAGAAAACAGCGACTTTTAAGAGAAGAAAGAACACTTGTAAGAATCGGATATACGAAAAGAACACTGGCGATGATATGAGCAAAGGTGAAAAAAGCGTCGTGAGACTTAAGGACAAGCAGCTACAGAGTGTTGCATCGACGCAAGAACGCCGGAATGGATCTCTTACTCTCGAAAGGGCTTACAACTGAGATCGTAATAGGAACATCTCCTAAAACTTCAAGCGGCCCTTTTCGCTTCTCGAGATGATTATACGCATTAATATATTTGAAGGCGTCTTTTATTGTTGTTCTAAGTAGCCATAAAGGACTTATTGGTATACCGACCGTTTTTCTAGCTAGTTGGATTCAAGGTCAGATATCTTAAATAACAAAAGTCGCTTTTATGTCGCGAAAAGTATCGCCAATATTCTTCAAAAAGCTAAGATTTGCCAGTAACAGATAGAACGCTTCTATTCTTTGTCCGTGGTTTGAGATGGGGTATTTTGAAGATGTGAAATTTCTAAAAAAATGTCTCTATTTCAGTATTTTACTACAATGAAAGCAAACACAAAATGCTACCAGGACCCATGAAAAATCGTGCTGTTTATATTCGAAACCGCCTGAAGATGGTGGGTTTTATCCCTTTCATTCTGGAAATTTCGGTGCGGGCTATGCTCCTCGTAACGGTCGACTAATTAAAGAAAAAGTTGATGAAATTATTGCGAACGTTGGACGTGTAGCCATGATATCGCCCAGAAACCAAGCGGCCACTACCAAGCGATCTTAAACCATTCGATGTTTGGAAAGAATCCACGCAATCGTACTTCCATCTAAAAAATTGTATAGAAACGCAACGAAGTTGAACTATCGATCAAGCGGGTGCTGAAAAATCGATCACGCATGACATAGCAATAATGTACGAATTTGAAGGGTAAGGTAACAAGGTACTGTACATTTTGCAACATAACCCAGACTAATGCCAAAGAAGCTACTAGTTTTCTGCTTGACGAGAACGGGGAGGGATCGTGCATTTTGAATTACTGCTTGGCAAATCGATTGTATCGAACCTTCACTGTTAACGAGTAACAAGATTGCTGTTAAGCCATTGGAAAAACAGAGAAAGTGTCATATCCCAACACCAGATCAGGTACATGCTTAGCTACGCGACGAAACTTGAAAGAACTTTGATGGGAAATTTCAATACATCCGCCGTTTAGCCCGCATCTTGCACCATCAAGCTATCATCCGTTTCGGTTTTCAGAGAATTTTCTTACACTTACTTTCTACAGAATTTTCTTAATAGGGCTGATTTAGTTTCAATGAGAAAACGCAACAATCACTTATCAGAATTGTTCGCCTAGAAATCATCGAAGTTTATAACGGTATAATCGCAATTTCGCCTAAAAAATGACAGAATTGTCAATCACAATGGTGCATTTTGAGTTGATTTTAGAACTGAAGAAGCATTTGCTTCAATTTTAGCTTAAACAAGTCAATGCTTATTCTTTAAGAATCCATTGTACACTTTACAATATTTATTTTTCATGATTAAACGTTTTGAATTTTCCCGCTATTGCGTGCTCTTTTAGACATCTTTGTTTTATTATAGATTCATACTGGTTTCGGTATGCTCAGTGCTAGCTTTTTTAAGAATCGTTATTTTAATGCATTGTTATCAAAGATACTTATCATTTGTTTCTATAAGCTATAATTATGGCACTGTTTTATATATCAATAGTTTTGCTTTCTATCGCCATTCTCCATCCATCATTCATAACTCGCGCTTTTTAGCTGACTATTGTTAGCTTTGTCCGAGTTGCCAGTACTTATAGAGTTGCTAGTCCGTTTTCCAGTTGAAATGGATCTGCAGACGATTAGTTCTTATATGATATTTACCGTTTGCGTCTCTTTAACCCTGTTCTCTTCTATGCCTTGTATGCTTTTTTTTATGATGCAAAGTTTTTTATGCTAACTTAAAGTTACAATATTAGCCAAACTTCGTACTCCAGGCTTCTATTTTAGAAGCTTCAATAAATTTTTCCGATTTTACGCGCAATTGGATTGCCTTTAAGTATTACTCGGACGGCTGGACCCTTTCGGTCAGATCAAAGGAAATGTTTCTACGCCTAGTTTTAAACTTAGACCACCTTGCGTCTCCCTAGGTAAACATGTTACCACTTTACGGGGATTGTGTTACAAACTTTAAGTCTTACAAACAATTGCGTTGCGAATTTCCGGACTTGCGTCTAGCGTTAGCATGACATCTGCGTATTTTACGACGTGTATAAACACGCTTCGTCATAGCAATACGCGTGACGTTATGAACCCAGAGGAGCTTGATAGACTTTTTATTAGTAGAGTAAATTGTTATTCCTTTTCGGCTATTTTTTGTAATTCTTCTCTCGTTTCATCGTATACGCCAACTACGCCATTTCTTTCTCCGCACAAGTGCAAGGCAATCTTCTATGGAACAATGATGGGTCAACAGTGATTTTCCTTTATAAACGTATCGTTTTCTTTAGCTATAACAAGGTACGTTAGCTTATTAGACACTAGTTTCAAGAGCCCACACTATCCAATATTGATCGAAGGTCCGCAGCAGTACCTATGATAACTATATCAATATATTAGACTGTATGCGTACATATAATTTGCGGATATTTTAAAACGGGCATGCAGCACAGATGCTAGCCTTGAGAGGCACAATATAAGCTGCTGTTAAGTTGGTGTTCTAAGTTGAGGCAGCGTAATAAATTTTAGGTGTTGTCTAGCGACACAAAGTGTGGGGTTATAGTTCGTCCCTTCGTTTTTTCGTGGTCGGGGTATCGGATCGACGCAAGTGAGTAATAAGATCACATTCGTTATGGAGTAGATAATGTATTAGGTTATGTTAGGTAGATGTACGTTAACGATCTCACTTGCCACGTTCACGAAAAAACCCGAGTGTCTCCGTGCTGTATGATTTAAAACGTAACTCCGAAGAAAATCATTATTCCGCTGATCGATATCTGGTTTGTCGAGTTCTGGAGTTCGAAACGAAATTCATGGATGGACTCGCATTCAGAATACATCAAGAAATCTATTTCATAACCATGTATAAAGTTTTAGCCTTCAAGGAACGATATGAGGTCGGGGAATGAAGAGTTTTCAGATTGCCGCACAGGTGCGTATCCACGACATTGTAGTTCGTTAGCAACATTTACTGGCATAGTTTCGTAGAATTAATTTTTGATAGGGTTTTCTGTGTATGATAAGTCAAGTTGTCCAAGTTACCAATAGGACATTTGTAGGATATTCGAGCAGAATAAAGCCTGCCTCTCAAAACACCTATGCATGAAGGTGTTAGAATTCAGTGTTCTATAACAATACAAGGCGAGGATTTGCAAATAATTTTTATGCTCTTGCCTCTGGAACAGTACGCTTCCTATATATTAGATAAAAAAAACTGTATCTTTGGCTGTTTTTTAGGATCTGCACTACCTTAAAGTATTCCCTTGTGACTATATATCTTTATAGGGTCTACATGATATGGTTTGCTTAAATGGTAGGCATGTGGTTTTAGCAACTTTCTTCAAGGACCTGCTAGAATATTCGTATAGCTGTCATACTAAAAAAACCGGATCGTTACTTATCAACTTTTTTATAAAGCAATTTCGATTACTAGAAAATGCCACTCGCTGATTAACAGCTTTTTAATTAACGTTCCGTCTGTCCGAAAGTGTATCTTCCCATCTTACCGCCAAGGCCGCAATTAGGTAAAGAATCAGCTCGGAATAAATTATTACATTCTGCTATCGTGAAGACTTTTCAAAAAATATAATGGAAGTCGGCAGTTAGCAACAAATTATGAACCTGTTTTTCATCGCCTCTGACGCGAATCACGGCACAGGCCTGGTAGCCTTCCGCAAGCGCACTTTAGAACGTATTTAGTTAGTTTTTATATAGATTGGGAAAAAATAATGTTCAAAGTGACACGTTCGATCGATGTTCATGTTAAATAGATATCTGTATGCATTACTGTTATGTGCAGTATTGTTTTTATGTAACGAAAAGGTAAACCGATTCACTTGCTACCACGACGCATTGTGAAACAGAAGCCCCATATCCCGAACTTTGATTGAAATCTAAGGAACAGACATATACAGATGTGCTGATTCATAATGCCCCCTGGTCACCGGGTAAATGTGAATACGCTACCTACCGACAGAAAATTTGCAACTGTTCAAGCTACGTTTCATCAGAATTGAGGATGGCCTAATTCAGACAGCCCCTTTTCGTTAGTGTTTCATGACGAAAACTTCGAAAGGCGGAATCTTTACGTCGCTTTGTGGGGACATTTTTGCGGCTGCCGGACGTAAATGCATCCTTCTCATAGCTCTAAACAGGCTGTTTTGAACTGACTGGCGGAACTGGCCTCCTGCTAGAGCGGATTGTTTTGATCGTCACTTAATATTAAAGGCTCTTCATGCCTATACATACCTCTCAGCGTTATTTGCGACAACGAGAAAAGCGATAGCCCCCAACAGTGACCGCATCTTTTGAGCCAGCTCCTTACAAACTGAGCAGACAATGTGTGTGTAGATCCTAAAACTTCTCGAACAGCAGCTAGCATTTACTTCATTCGATACTCCTACTGCTTCCTTCTGACGTTCTTGTTCTTGAAAAATATATCCATGATGAAAGTTATGACGGACTCGTTCTTCATAACTGACGCGAGCTTCTACAACATAATTTTTACATAACTTCAATCATTCTAGTCAACTGACAAACAAAATTATCACTCTGTCGGTGCAAGATGCGATGAAGCATGCCAGCCTTTTTCCAAAATGCACTTAAGGTGACCTTTCGAACTCCAAGTGTCAGATCGTGCCGCAGAAGAACTCCTCTTTTCCCACTGGAGATCTATCTTTGTGGTTTCTTAACGATATGTCACGCGATATGTCAATACGTGGAGGGTCGCTAGGCCTGTTCGCTGATTCAACTGGACCAATAACACAGGCTAACTACCACCGCTGTCGTCACCGTCGCCACGCCGTTGCCACTCTACTCACCCATCCTAGTAGGTGGCTATCCTTCTCCTGATTGTTATCCTTCGCATAAGCAGCTTCTCAATAGACAATCTTCCAGGCACTGAATCGCCTTGCGTTGCGTCGGTTTCCGCAGCCGCAGCCGCCGCCGCCGCCGCCGCCTCCGGGAAGGTACTGCTAGCAAAGCGTTGCTGCCGTCGCGGTTGCAGCGGCGGTAACATTCATACAGCTTCGCTGTCAGCAGCGAAAAAGGCAGCATCAGCGAAACCGGCACACTCACTCTCGTCGTTTCGGAAATGTACCGCCGCTCCGAGGAGATGAAAGCCATACGGAAGAGGTTAACACAATAGACGAAAACCGTGCGTGTACGTGAAGGAGTGGGGGTGGGTGACGACGAGATATAAGAAATTGGACAAAGAAGGGACGAGCATAGAAGGGAGATAGGCAAGATGAACAGAGATGAAAAGCTCCGAGAGAAAGCGAACAGGAGCCAAGACGAGCGACGTGACCGGCATCAGAAAAGCCTGCTCTTCCCCTTACCGCCGATGGCAGCTCTTGCGGCAAGCTTGCCGGCGGACAGGCTGGCGGCAAAGCAGAATGGGATAGGATACATGGCGCTGGTGCAATGCGCCGGCGTTGCGGGCGCGCAGCTCATCGCTAGTCAGTCCTAGTCATCGTTCGCGCGATGGGACTGGCACGTTGCCATGCCAGCATCCCCGTCAACTTTGGCAGCATAGTTGATGCCCGGTGGTTGCGGTGCCATGACCAGACAGCGGATAGGTATCGAGATGATATACCATATATATACATACTACAGGGCAAACGAAAAGCAAGGATAATGCGTTAACGGCCGATCTAACCCGGGATAGGGTAGCTGGCGATTTTTTGTGACTAAGATGTTGCATACGACGTCAAGCCAGGTTAGCATATAAGCAGCTAGAGACAGGATAACAGAATTAGGCAAAGAGAAAGATCGAGCAGACGAGCCACAGGGAGAAAAAGAACACGGCTCATAGCTAAATAGCTCGTTACATTTAAAGTCGAGAGGCGACGAATCTGTCCCATGTTTGTGTGTCAGATACATACCTGGATTGTAGCGATGAACAGGTATGTTATCAATAACCATCCATTCATTCTAGAGCCTGAAAGATACGAAAGGTCGGAACTAGTCGCGTCAGCCATCTGAATCCGTCAAGATGTCTCCTTTTGCGATAGTGCCCTGTCGACCTGATGTGACGCGGTGTCGTATAGAATAATTTTAAAGGCAAGCATGAACCCACTTTTCAAAAGGCCGTCGTTGCCAAGTTCATTGTCACATATAGAGTAAAATAGGCTCATGTGGTATATATTCATAAGATAATATAGTCATAAGAATATAACAAACAAACGATAATAAATGCAAAAATACATGTAATATATATGGAACATATTACGCTAACAATGAACCGACATTGTGTACATCACAGGGTGACGAAACTTAGATAAACTCTAGCGGGCTCTAGTAATAGGCCAAAGAACACATACCCTGAAAGGTCGACCATTAGCTACCATGGTCTTCTATAGTGATATAATTCTGAATGAGCAGAAAGTAGCTGAAAATTATGCCAGTCACGTATTCTACGCTAATATATATGTTTTACTTTAATCAATAATTTATAAAATTATCGAGAGTAATTGAAAAGCAATTGTCCTTCGAGTCTATGGTTTTTCCTTACTCGAGAAAGATTTTGACGTATGAGGATTTCTCGTATATATGTATGTATATATCAAGCTTATAAGCTGTTAAGCTCTGATTTGTAGCTATTTAAGTAGGATGATATATATATATATATACTCAATCGTATTCAATAGGGTTTTCTAACTTAGATCTTTAGATTATTTTATATAACCATATAATAAGAATATTTAGAAGTGGACAATTTTTTTTAGTTGGCAAGCCGTGTCAGTGGATTATAAGTATTATACCCTAAATGTGTGTCTTAAAAAACGGTATCTTTCCTTTTATACTCTGTTACTTTTCCTACTGTCGTTAATGGTTTCCGTGTAGACTAGGCCTTGTTCGGCGTTCAGTCTTTTCCTTGTGGCAATTCATTACGGTTGTTCAGTATATATAAAACGTTGAAGCAGAGATCATTCATCTTAACAGTTAACTATAGTAGTTTGCTATTTGTTTCATTTTGTACGTTATTGACGCACCTGTTGCGCTCCCCACATTTAAGATGGGGTCGTTTTAAGCTAACTGCATTGTTTAATGTCAATAAAGATTCATAGACATCACTCATGTGCCGCTGAAGGTGGGTGTCAAAATTGAAGCCTGCGAAAGTCCGTATTTATTGTTTAGAGCTGAGTTAGCCTAGGGCCGGCCTTTTAAAGTTTGACCTCTATTAATTAAATATGGTAAAAAATAAGTCCTTCAGTATTCTGATTACAGTATCTAGACCTAAAAAGTTTAATTTATTTTTTAATTAGGCGCTTTCTATACACTATAGAAAGCCTTTTTATATTTGAAAAAATTATAAATGCCTATTTGTTGTTCTCCGTGGCTCGTGCTTGCTGTTTTGGCCTGCGCTTAAGTTGCGGAGGGCCTTCATTAATAGTCTTATTTCGGTGGAATGAGTTAATTGTTTAGAACTCTTTCAGGAGTTTGTTCTGCGTCTGTAATATAGAGAAAAATCATCATGTTTGTTACCTTGTTGTCTCGGGCCAGATTCATAGAGATACAATCGTTTGTTTTATTTTACCTTTTTTTATCTATTTTATTTATTATTTAACCTCTGTTTTATCTTTTTATATATTTATTTTTTCAATTGTTTTAATATGAGTACAAGTGCTTTCTTTACGTTAGAAATCCACTCAAGATGTTACATCTTCTTTTATTATTACTTTAGTTATAATTTCAGCGTTCGTCTTTTTTTTAGACATCTCTCACAAGAGTGCACATAAAAAACGTCGTTTTTCCATGTTTTTAAAAAGCATTGCCCTTTTCGGGCATGGCCGAAACCAAGGCCCAAGATTACGAGGGGTCCAGGGTTTAACGGGTAAGAGTCCCATAACACCAGACAAACACCACAGCTGCATTACGCATTTGCCTTCAGCCTGCTTAAAAACGGAGATGATCATGTGTGGTCAGGATGAACGTTATTGTTTAAGATATCGGAGGGCACTTCTCTGCGCGAATGCTTCTGCTAAAAAAATAACACGTGAACAACTTGCTGTCCACAACCTCGTGCAGTGTATAAGGCTGAATAGCTCGAATAGAACCTCGTTAAAAAATACCCTGCGACCTCGTGGTACTTCCTGCTTGACACAACACTTACAAGGAAGCGGGTTTTTACTTTTAATCTTGTAGTCAATGAGCGATGAGCTTTCGATGTGGCATAAGGTATTAGTTTCTAGGTGACGTATGGCTTCGAATTTGATCCAAGGGATAACGACCACAAGGAGTTTTAAAATAGACAAATAAACAGGCTTCTTTTTCTTTTTATCTGGTAATCAACTGCGGTAAAGTAATTGTGGATGACAGTACATGAAGAAAAATCAGGTACCTTACGAGGATCCTTTGTTTCGGGAATCTATCACGGGAAGGAGGTGCAAGAACAGTCCAGGACTCGTTTGAATGATGATCCTACCAGTAGCCTAGTTCTATAGATCTGTAAGGCTATATGCATAATATAAAGGGTACTGATTTGTCGACACAAGTTGCGTGATAAACCTTGAAGCTGACATAACGATTCCATCGAAAGAATTAAAAACTATACATTTAACATTTATACATAAATGTCTAATGTATAATTTGGCAGACGGTATGCACCTTTAACTTTTGCCATAGTATTGATGTTTAAAATTAGTTTCTGTTCTATGCCATTTTTAACTATCGTAGAATTTTAACTTCGGCTCTGCAAAATATTACATAAGTGATGTGATGGACTATGACCTATCAGTGTAGGCAACTTGGTAAGTGTATTCTAAGTAACAGTAGAAAATTTCGGAAGACGCTATAACAATTTTAGTTTTTATGGTTTACTCGACAAGAGAATTCTATGATAAAGAAGAAGTAACGTTTGGGAAACTAATTGGTCACAACATAATCAGAACATGATCAAATCGTCAAGATCTTGTTCCTCAAAGGTCACAGCGCTGTGGAAACTCATCGAAGATTTGTCAAACACATTAGGCAAGGAGGTCTTAAGCGAACGGAGAGTATGCCAATGGTGTGGACATATCAAGAATAGACATATCAGAATTAAAGATCAGCGAAGCGGTGGCAGGATGTCAAAAGCCGAAAGACAAGAACGTATTGCCGCAATCGAGGAGATTTTTCACGAATGCAGAACTTAAAGTATAGGGGGTTCTGTCGGCTGAAATTGCTATTTTACATGTGACAGAATTAATACCGAAATACTGAAAATGCGAAAACTGAGTAAAAATGGCCCGGAGTGAATCTGCTCTAAGCTAATTGGAAAAGCATGTGTTGTGTTCCACGTATAATTTGCGAAATGTCTAATCAACACAACATCCATCTGGGATATACGGTCACCATCGAGGAAGCTTGGTTCAATGTCTACCGCCAGCCAGAGAAGGCCCAAGCGGAAGAATAGCGTCGCCCTGCAGAAGAGTCGAGTTCAACAGTAGTATTGAGTAGTAGGTACGTTGTAATCTCTACCATTATGTAAAGTGATGGTAGAAATTGCAATGAACGTCAGGAGAATCGGCTACCATAATACACTCGCCGAAAATGAAACAATGAATGAAGCCCGCTACCTCCCGTTCCTTGAAAGACTCAAAGATCGTTAACACGGCAATCTGGTTGCTTTATAACAACGCCAGACCTTATTGTTACGACTCAGTTACTCCATGCATTGAGCAAAGGAGTATCCAACGTCAGTTTCAATACGCTCATTCTCCTGATTTAAGTCCGTGTGATTACGGCGCTCTTAGTACCCCGGAAATGGCATCTAATGGGTAAGCATATGCTACTTTCGACATACTTCGATACGTCATAGACAGAGAAATTATATA